ATCTCGTGCTCCGGACCCGCCACCCCGCCTGGCCCAGCCCGGGCGCTGGGAGTCCATGCAGCGCCGAGCACCAGGCAGGCACTAGAGGCACCGGGGTCTGCAGCAGTGGGGGGCTCAGGGCTGAGCAGGGTGGGGAGACTATGTGGGCACTGGGATCTGGGGGCAGCAGGGGTGGCACGGGGCCGAGCTGGAGCACATGCAGGGCACGGGGGTCTGGGGGCAGAGTGGGGCGGGCACAGGGCTGAGCTGGGCACACTGGGGGAGGTGGCACCTGGGGGCAGCACAGGCCGGAGGGGGCCCCGGAGCCCCCCATGATCCCAGCCATGCCTGCTCAGGCCCAGGAGCCAACATGCCCAAGCAGTTGCTGGAGCAGTTCCCTCGGCCCGACCTGGCCCAGCGCTTTCAGCCCCTGCAGGACGGAGCTGCACCCAGTGGGGCCAACGGGGGTGCTGCCAATGGCCCCAAGCCAGCCCTGACCCCAGGTGGGTAACGGGGCCAGGGAGAGCTGGCCTGGCCCAGCACAGGGCACTGGGGGAGCTCCCTGGGACCCCCAGTCCCAGAAGCGGGTGACACAAGGGCAGGGGACATGGGGGAGCTCTGACCCCACTCTGTCCAGGGCAAGGACATGGCCTGGGCATGGGGACAGGAGCCCCGGGCAGCCGCCCCAGCACCTGCCTGGCTGGTGACTCCAGTCCCCTCCGCAGCAGGGCGGCCGAGCCTGGTTGCAGATCCACAGCTGATAAACCTTGCTAGGCGCATGGGCCGGGAGTGGCGCCAGATCGGGGTCCAGTTCCTGGGGCTGCCAAACCACCGGCTGGAGCAGCTGGAAGAAAAGCACCGGGGCAACCTGGTCATGCAGGCCTTTGGCGTGCTGCTGGAGTGGAGGAAGAAGGAGGGGAAGGCAGCCACAGCTGCCCGCCTGCACAGCATCCTCTCTGCCCAGGACGTGGCCCTGCAGCCCGAGGCCCTGAACTGCCTCCTGGAGCCGGGGCAGGGCTGAGCGGGACAGGGGCACATGTACCGGAGCTGGCCCCAGCTGGAGAAGCCATGATGTGGGGTGGGAGAAGGGATCCACCACCAATGAAGCCCAGTGGATGGAGGGGTGGGTGGAGGCATGCCAGGTCTGGGCTTGGCACCACTTACAAAGGTTTTTTATTCTCAATAAACACCAGGCTTCGTATCTGCAAAGGACCAGGGTGTCTCCCTGCAGCTCCAGCACCCCTGCCCAGCTGGGATTGGCATTGGAGTTGGGCCCCTGTGGGTGTAGTAGAAAGTATTGTGGGCATGAGTGTCCTGGGGGCATCCCATGGAGGAGGAGTGATGGGGACAGAGCAGGGAGCTTGGTTCCCTACAGGTCCCTGCCCAGCCTCAGTCTCATCCAGGAAGAAGTCCAAGTTCTGCCTGGTGACCAGGGGGCTGGTGACAGTCTGGCCGATGAAGTTGGCCTTGCTGCCGTACAGCTGGTGCATGGAGCCCACCTTCATCATCCGCTCCTTGATGGCAGAGGGCAGGGGGATCAGCCTGGCACCGCGGCAGGCACAGAGCAGACCCCCAGCCAGCACCTCCAGAGGGTTTCAAAGGGGATGGAGGAAGCAGAGCACCCGAGTCCCGCTGGGGTTCACCAGGAGTTGGTGCCTAATTCCCTTAAATCCCTGCCATGGATGATGTTCAAAAGCACGGGAGCCAGCAGGCCCCCTGCACTCACCTTCCCCAGCCACTCCTAGTAGCCGGCCTGGGCCTGTTTGCCCTAAGGCTGGGCAGCACGAACCAGAAGCACTTCAAACTGGGGCTGTGGGGGGAGGAGAAGGGATCACCATGGGGAACCCCATTAAGGACATATAGGATCTCCCTTGCTGCAGGTCCAGGGACACTTTCTGGGGCCTTCAACAGGCACCCGCACCTGCACTGCCCTGGAGCACCCCGGGGCTGGCTTGCACTGCAGCGAGGCTCACTAGCTACTGGGCACCCCCCAAAGTGGCATCATCTCAACTGGGGGTGAAGCAAGGTCCAGGACTCAGGCGTAACCATTTCCCCAGCAATTGTCAGCACTTCGCCTCTTGGAGTGTTTTGGAATAGCGTTTGCCAAGAGTCCCTTTTCCAGGTGGGGCTGGCCACACTTTCTCCATCTTCTCCCACTGATTTCCAGTAGTAGGACTGGAGTTCACTCAGGAACATTTTAACACAGTCCATTGCCTCAAGCTCCGTGTGTCGGCACCCCAGTAGGTTCCTGCATTGCCCCAGGGCACTCCTGACACAGGACACAAACTGGTTGAAGCGGGTTGTTGGGGACCCCCACCTCCTTTGTCATCAGCCTGACTCCTGTCACCTCTTGAAGGAGCCGGCTTACCTTTTTCCACACCCCCTTGGCATAGGGACAGAGCCATAGGAGGTGGTCGATGGTCTCACTTTCATCTTGGCAGGCTTCCCTGGGGCAGTGGGGTCAAGTCCCTCGTCCCTCGTCCCTCTCTGTGCCTCCATGCCCTCACTGGAGTGCGCGGCATGCTATTACCCAGTTCAAGTCTCTGTGGTCTTTCCATAGGTCCTTATGAAAGATCCAGTCCCAGACAGCCTGGCAGTCATCTTTGGTGAGCATCTCTATGATTGATAGCTGGTGTCTGTCTCTGACTGCCTTCTGTATCTTCCTGGGGTTGGACATGGTCACTGGGCTTTCCTTCTGTAGCCCATACTCACTCCGAAACTCGTTCAGGACCTTGTAGACCCAGGGCGGCTCCATGGTCCACAGGTTCCTGTTGGTTGGTGCATGCACCCCCCCACACCGACTCCGGAGGTGACCTGCAAAAACCTTTACTAAACAGGCTGGTTTGGTCACTGGCCCGGTCACCAGCTTGCAGACCTGAGTTGTGTACCATGCCTGCAGGAACAGGTGGATGTCTGGCATCCCCCGGCACACTTCCTTTGGTATAGGGTCTTCCTTGCCAGCTTCTCCATTTGGGATCCCCAAAAGAAAATGCACGTGGCTGTCTGGATTTTGTGGGTGATACGCTTTGGAGGGGGGAAGACCAGTGCAGTGCACAGAAGCACTGGTAGTACCACTGCCTGCATGAGTGCCACTCACCCCCCATAGAGACCTGGCGCGCGTGCCACATATTCAACCTCTGCTTCACGTTGGCCTCCTTCTTCTCCCAGGCCTTCCTTCCGCTCAGTTCAGGGTCAAACTCCACCCCAAGGGTCTTGACCCCCTCACAGGGAATCAAGACCCCCAGAAGCTTGCTCACAACCAGGCAGGTGCTTTTGCTCACTTTGAGCTTGGCCCCTGCTACTGCTTCGTAAACCCATGTGTGCCATAAGGCTCTTTCTACTGCACGCTTATTCAGGCACAAGATGTTCAGGTCATCCACGTAGGCCAGGACCTTGGCCTCTTCCTTACTTCCTCAGGGGATATGGACTCTGTGCATCCCGGGGTCCTGCCAGATGCACTGAGCTAGGGGTACTATGGCGCGGATGAAAAGGATCAGGGAGAGCAGGCAGCTCTGCCAAACCCCCAACTCTCATCGCACTCCACACACCCAAGAAGCCTTTGACCAGCACCTCTTTGCTCACATCCATGTGCAGCGTCCGACAGCGACACAGCCGGGCCTCGAAACAGCGACGATGACAAAGCAGTGTCAGCGGCAGTGGTAGCAACAGCGACAATGGCAACAACAAAGACAAGGAAGGCGCGCACATGAAAACCCCAACAACCGGGTGAGAACTAAGAGACTGTGCCAAGGAAAGGACTGCGGATGGGGGCACAGATGCATCCATTGTAACGGGTGCATGGGCTTTTAATGCATTTTAAGGTGTGTGCAGGAA